AAACTGTCCAGATGACCTGACTGAAAAATGTTGGATTGTATACCTGGGTTATTGAGCATGGACTTTGTTGTTTTCAACCAGTTTGACATGACTGTCAACAAGGAAGAGGGCCGGCAATGGAGGAGGGGGCGTACCAAAGAGACCATCTTAGCACCAACAAAACTGGTTTGTTCCACTTTGGAGTAAGCTGTTGGGGGAAGAATCAGTTTTGTGATGTGCGTTTCCTTGACTGATGAAGCCTTCTGGATGGAAGGTGAAACGTTTCAGCACAAAAAAAAAAAATTAATAAAAGAAACTGTCCAGAGGACCTGACTGAAAAATGTTGGAAGTTAGAAGAAACAATCTGAAAGGAGCACAAAATAGCTAAAATTAGCTGAAAGTAGCTGAAAAAAATGCTTAAATTTGCACAAGGAAGCTGAAAGAAGCTGAAGCAGAACAAAATGTGAAAGGAGCAGTAAAAGGTTGTAAACAGATCTAAAGATTTAAAAGATGTAAAATTAGCTTAATTCATTTTCTGTGAGGGGAAAAAAGTGGCAGAAAAGGCTAAATATCTCAAAAAGCTAAAGCTGCACCAACACCAAATGTCATGGCAGGATTGTCCTGAAAGAGCTGAACGTTTTGATTTATGATTTGTTGAAATAGCTTGAAAACTGTGGCATGAGAATCGCGATGAAAATGTACAGAAACAAAATGGATCACTGTTAAATCTCAGATTATAGAACATGTTTCTCTCTGCACAGTAAAATCTATCACAGAACAACAGGCGACAAGATGTACTGTTTGTTCTTGTTTAAAATGAAAGAACACCTAGGGCAGTTTCGGGTTGAGCCACTGAGAAAAAGCCTGCGTAAAAGATGTTTTGTCATCTGCCTTCTTCAGCCTGTGAGTCTCACCTGTGAGTAATTAAAATACTCCCAGTACCTGCAGGAGCAGCTTCATTAATTGGCTCAGGTGAGAGTCCACTATTAGGCGTCCCATCTGGGAACGTGGCTGTTGTGCTTTGATTAAATGAAATCATGTCCACGAAGAGACAAAATGTAATGGCCATCCCCCGAGGAGTGAATTAAAGTGTGCGCCCGACGAGGTCGCTGCTCTCTGAGGGAAGTCAACAGTTGCTGATTCCAAAACAGGCGTGACTCCTGAGGCTTCACGACCACCGAGGTTCGGTTCTGGACCAGGGTGTGGATAAAGTGGCGAAAGAAAGTGGTCCAAGTTATGAGCCGAATCGAATCATTTGTAAGAGAAAACCAGTGACGGGGTTTAATTTTCACTAATGGCTGGTCCACGTGGGACCAAGATCAAAAGTGGATCGCTGCTGTCTAAAAACAGAAATCTCAAATTGTATGTGACTTTTTAAATATTTTCATTGTTAATTTCACGTTACATAAGTATCTTAAAAAATAAAAATAAAATCTGTGAGCATGCTTGTCCCTCGTGGCAGATTGCTTTAACTTGCAATATTTTATCTCACTCTTAATTTTGAAATGTGTAGCATGCATTTCTTGTTTTCTTATAAAAAACAGTATATGGGCTCAGCACAGAACCATCCGTGGGTCAAAGTAAAATGAGGTCATGAAAATCTGACAGACTTTTTTTGCTCTCTGTCTGTGTATCGGAGCTCCTGTTACACATCTTCCGAAACTAAAGCTACTGGTCAGCTGGACTTTCAACGCAATCGACAAAATCTTTTCAACTTTTCAAATTGACAGTGTCCTGGAGAGCCCTCATGCCCCGTAGAAATGCACGCGGCAGGATACCGCATGGATTTCGTGGGGAGCTTGGGAGCTGAAATGTCTTTCCGTATTATCTCAGGAGGACGCCGAAGATATTTATATAATTGGAACCATGATAGCAGGGTTTCTGCTTTTTGGCAATGGCGGATTCCTGTGATATCGGCTATCAAAGAAGACGGCGGCAGCAGTTTTGGCAATGGCCAAACTGTAGCGTCTGTGTGAAGGTTTGGTTCGTGCTTCAAGTACTCAAAATCAGCTGCTTTATGAGCTAAACCGTAAGATGGAAGTGATTTGTGAGAATCACAGGCCACCTGCAGTTTCTGGGACTCGCCAGCATGCTGGGGACAACCATGGAGGGGGCTCATGAGAACGGACCAGTGGAATGCCCACTAATCTGGCCATTTTGGGATCTAAGGTACCAGCAGGACTCAAGGCAGACAAGAAAACAAAGCGGTGTTAGAACAGTCGTTATTCTTTTATCATATTATTCTTATAATTCTTTTATGTTTTACTCAACAACCTGCTCTATACGATCGCACCCATCATTGTTTGAATTGAATAAAAAGGCGTAAAGGGAATGAGCAAGTGGAAGAGAGTTTGTGCTCTTCCCTTTGCAAAGAAAATCTCACGCTTTATGTCCACGTTTGTTTGTTTAAACCTAACAAACAGTCTGCCTGAAAAAAATCAACAATTATGGCATATCTGAATCTGACTCCCCCAGCTGGCCTCGGAGCAGGCCGACTTATCAAATTCCCCCGGGACATGTGTGAACTAAGGAAAAGCTTCGTATATCCTCTATATATCCTCTTTTTTTTATCTAAAAATTATTCTGAAAAAAGATAAGGGGCCGCGCTCTCAGGAGCAGCAGCAACGTGCACTCTGCCATAATTCAGATGACTGTATATGAACATAATCTCACTGTATTTCAGTAGAACGATAATAAAGCTTACTCTGATTCTAAATACTGTTTGATAGCAAGCGACACATCATTAAGTTTGGATTCATGTCGAAAAGTTGGACAAATTTTCACTTCCAGGATCAATATTTTCTAATAAAATAAAATAAAAACATCAAAACACAGTAAAATCACAGACATCACTTCTATTTAAAGGTATGAAAGTGACCAATAGACTTATTTTAGTTGGATGATGTCATTTCTATACAGTCCCTTATCACCAGATTTACTTGGAGTGTTTTATTTATTGTCTTTAAGTTAATCAAAAACATCAATGTTAATTTTTAAAAAAAAATCTGTGCACAGGAAACTGATATAAACAACTTATGTTGTTTTTAGCCTTCTGGGGCAGGGGAGAACCAACGGGTTTATTACACGGTAGTTATTTGCTGACACAATTAGTGGCAGTAGCAGCAGTTCTGTTGCAGTTCGATGCCCTTTTGCTAAGAGGATGATAGAAAGATTGTAGTTATGGAAGATAAAAAAAAATTATAGATCTTCTCATATGTCCTCACTAGAGTAAACAAATTTATATACTTGTGTACAGAGTGCAGTCTACATGTTGCCATGTCTTTTTTTAAAAACCACTCAGGAACCTGTTTAAAAAACAAAACTGCTTCTAAAACACAGTTTTTGTGCAGATGCAAGGTAGAAATGATACAAGACTTTTGCATGTTCACAAAAACTCTTCCTTCGTGGACGCCTAAGGTTATTGACCTTTTCCACACCAGGTAAGATATCGTTTGTTAATAACGTTCTGCAGAACCCCACTTCAGTAGATCTGAATGGCTTGAACCCATTTAGGATTCAGATGGTATCAGAATGAAGTGACTTTGCAGACCATGTGGGATGAACTGCAGGTCAGATATGGCCCATGAACCACCACTTGACGATCACTGGCACACAAGTTTGACCAGTAGAGGGACTGTGGGTGTATTGGTCCTGGATTTAAGTTGATTCTTCTTCATTTTGGAGTCTTGACTGAGTTATAAATGGAACTGTTGGAACCCCAGCACTTATTGAAACAGTCTAAACAGCATTTTATCCCGACTCTAATAATGAGCTCTCAGATGTATCATGTCCATCCTGAGGGGTGCGTCGTTACCAGGAGCAGCTACAGCAGCAGCACCAGCAGAAGCAGCAGGCGTTCGAGGCGTTGCTGGGGGTGTTTCCCATCTTGTGGTGCGCTTGGAGGACACTGGCAGCTGCTTCCTGATGAACCTGCATCTGTCTTTTACACATCTCCATCCGATCTGAGCCCATGCACTGCAGGGAGAGGAAGGAGCACAGGAGTGAGCTCTGCGCCGAGGGAGGCGGGCTGTTACTGGAACATGATAACCGCATCATCACTACACATCACATCACAGGGCTGTAGATATGAATAAAAAAAGACGCCCCCCCCCCCCCCCCCAGAACGAAGCATGCATCATGAAACGGATATCTGAAGGAAGGGTCCTGCGGAATGCTGCACGAGCTGGATGTGAGGGGTCAACTTAAGCTTTTTTTAGACGTGACAACATGTAAACTGGATCCATAGTTAATACCCCCCCCCCCCCCACTTGTCTCCCAACGTCTGGGAGCAGTAATGACAGCGATGAGGCGCACTGATCGCATCCATCTCTCGCATCCTCCTGAGGATACCCACGCATGATGGTGGGCACCCCCCACCCCCTTCCCAAAGCGCGGCCATTTCTACACACACAGTGAAATTATTTGATCACAGATGCAGATAAATTATTGTAAAAAAAAAAAAAAAAAAAAATTATAATCAAGGATCCAGCTTCAGAAGGTTTCTGAATTCCCCGCGTTATTCCCCTCTCAGAAAAATCCGAAACACACCCGCGCATCAAGGCGGATTTGTATTGGTTTTAATTATTTATGAAAATGTTATAAAAATAAAAATAAATCACATGAAAAGCATCACTTACTGTGTCACCATGAATGCCAGAATCCAGGTGATTTTCAGCTCGATCACATCCTTCTGCCTCGACTTGACACTAACCAGCTGGTTTCCTCCGCGCGCATGCGTCCCCTGCGAGTGTGAAGATTTTTCTGCGCCCGGAACAAAATCATGCGCCCAGTCTGTGCATGGGCAAACTGCAGCCATCTGGCTGATAAAACACATCATTTTGTGTCTGAATGGTAAACGTTTCAGGGACAAGGAACAGGTGCTGGAATTATGATAAAAGCTTCAATAATTAAGATATATTAATAGTTTCAGCTGAGTTCCTAATGCAAATTCATAACGAGTTTAAGTTAATTATTCAGAAAAATCTGTATTACCATCAAAATATTCATCGTTTTGAAAGCTAAGCTTTTGAATAATTGAATCAAACACCTGGAAAATCCAATTTGCAGCATCCTCCTTCCTTCCGGATTGACTCAGTGCCGCAAATGTCCACTAGAGGGCAGAAGCGGTCCACCAACACAAAAACTGCAGGATGAGGAAACTGGTGAACAGCTCAGGACCATTAAAGCTTAATCTAATGACCATAAAAAGTAAAAGAAAAAAGAAAAAAGATTTGGAATATAAAACCAAGATGTATAAAAAGTAAAATTTATGTTGCATTTTAAAGCAGAGACAAGTGGAAAGTTCAGAAACGCTCATTTAATATAGTGCACGCTTTTAGGTGCAGAAGTCTAAATGCTTCTTTATGCATTAAAATAATTTACATATAGGTGCTGCACTTATGCAAATGCCATTTTAATTAAAATTTTAAATATGTCCAGTGCCCGTTTGACAAATTTATTCACCTCACATGAACTCAAACAAAACTTTAAGGCACAAAACATGATTTAAAAAAAACATATTTTCATTTAAGAAGAATTAAACTTTGCATTTGAAGACTAATTCATGCAGCAAAACTTTTATTTCAAATTCATTTTTAACACAAGCATCATCTCATGATCAGGAGGACCTTCATGTTAAGAAGTTACACATTTTTTATGAAAATGATTTCCAAATAATCAAGTCGTTCACTAAAATCCTGTGCGTGCGCTCATGTAACAATTACTTTTTAGGCTCATAACCAGATGACTTTGATTTAAATAGTTTGATTTGAACATTTTAATCGTCTGTTTTATTTAATTCTCATTTTATTTATTGAAAAAAAATGAAAAAAGCTTTAAGAGATTTAAGTCAGAAATTCTTGGCTTAAAAAGCAGCTCCAGATCTTGTTGCTTTTTCTCTGCAGGCACAGTTTAAAAGGGTCAAATTAGCTACGAGGGCTGTTTTTCTTTATCTTTTATTTCCTGCAGCAGCTGCCTCTCACCACTCTGGTCTTCACTATCATAGCTGTTCCTAATCTGACCAAAGTAGAATGTATACAACTCACTGCTGCTCAAGTACACCATCTTCTACAGGAGAAGTCAATTTAAATATCTGATTTGTGCTCTGCAGCTTCACTCGGCAGCTCGTCTTGCAAAATGCAATTATTCCCTCCAGCTGAAGTTGCAACTGCAGCAGTGGGTGTATGCAAAGTGGCGTTTGCAGAAGAAGAGGTGCACGTCCATCCTTTCCCACTTTGTATGTGTGATACAGCTGTAAAACAAATTCAATATGAAGAAGTCTCTGCCTCTGAAGGTCTGAATAAATCATGCGTCTTGTAGCTGCGGTAATCTTTGGGAGAAATTGCTTCTTTAATGGAGCCTGCTCTCTGGCGAGATAACTATTACTATGATCTACAGCCGGAACACATCAGCTCATATTTGAATCTTTTAATGTTTTCACGTGGATAAGTGTTCACAAACTGCAAACAAATCGAGCTTCACTGTCTGAAAAATCAGCTTTAAAATTCAATATGGTGTCAGTTTTGGAGGCAGCAGCCTTCCAAAAACACAGGGAGTAAATCATGCTGCCTGCTCTCCGCTTGGGCACTTTCTGACACTGAAACAAGCGCTGGAGGTTTCTCACTTTTCACTTCTGCTGCTCAATTCATTAAAAGTCATTACTCCAACAATTCAGAGGTGCAATCTTTCAATAAGTTGAGGCCCAAAAATTATTGTTCTTCACCCATCTGTTCCTCTAAGTCCTTCAATGAGTTTATCTCAGGGCCACAGAAGTTTCCACCATAATGAACCCACTTGTTTTTATATTTTTAATCTTTTTGGATGTAGGAGCCTTGGTGCTGAGCTGGACTGCTGCTCGGTTTAAAGGAGGCAGAAATGGCCTGCAGAGCTCGGCAGAGCATTAAAAACCCTAATGAACAAACTTGGTGAAGTTGAAGGTAAATGCTCATTATATTCAAGTTTCTCATGAGATGCTATAAAATGTGTTTTGCTCCTGCGCTCTGTCTCAGTTGATAAAGTAAAATAAAATTTAAGGGGTAGCATTCCTTGAAGGAATGCATATCACCCCGTTATCTTCCATCCAGAGTTTTATTCATTCATTCAACCTTTATTTATACAGGTTAGACATGTTCAGTCACGAGGACTCATTTACAAGAGAGACCTGTTTTAAACAAAGAACACAGATGAGGTACAGACAACAGTAGACAATCATATAAAATGAAAAGTAAATAAAAGAAGCGAAGTTCTGCAAGGTGTTCCAAGAAACAGGAGCGGAGTAAGAGAAGAAGGCCCTTTTACCTAGTTTGGCCTGCACTGAGGGAACACTGCAGGTAATAATGTCCTGGGAGCGCACGCTGTAGCTGCACTGACAACATGACATGTAGGTGGAGATACATGTCTGCGTGAAGTTAATGATGTCCAGTTAACCAGTGAACACAGGGTGCAGTGGTAGGTACGGTAGTTACAGCCAGTTATGAATCTTAGTGCACCATGATAGACAGTGTCCAGCATCTGCTGGGTGCTTACAGGAGCGTTCATGTAAATAATGTCACCATAGTCAATGGAGGGAAGGAAAGTAGCAGTTGCAAAGCATTTCCTAGTGTTCAAAGTTAGACAGGATCTATTTCTAAATAAGAAACCCAGTTTTACTTTCAGTTTCTTTATCAAGTTTTCAACATAAGGCTTAAAAGAGAGATCTGCATCCACCAAGATTCCCAAGTATTTGTAATAGGAACACCATTTGTAGATAAGATAGAAGGAAGGACTGCTGGTATTGACTTCCTGTTTGCAAACAACATCCTTTTGGTTTGATCAGCATTTAGCACCAGTTTGAGACTAAATAAATCTGACTGGATGATGTCGAGTGCAGACTGTAAGGACTGAAAAACCTTAGCAACTGTTCTAGCTCGACAATAAACAACTGTGTTGTCGGCATCGAAATGTAAAGATGCATCAGGAATGATCTGACCTACATTACTTATTTAGATTGTGAGGGGGTGGGTCCTAATAGTGAGCCTTGTGGTACACCATTGTTAAGTAGTTCAAAGAAGTACCATTATGTTGAACACATTGCCTCCTATCTGAAAGATAATTAAAGAACCAACCAATAGTTTTAAACAGAGATCATTTTTTGGTTAGAATTGACAAAGTTGTAGTCGTTTGGGTTAAACCTTTTAAAATAATACTTGGCAGAATGTTATTAAATATGGCAAAATGTCCCCCTCAGAGTACCGGTATGTCTTATTAAGGACTCTCAGATTAATGTCCAGAAATTCGATGAAAGTTTCTCTTGATTATTGCCCACTAGCTGCGGTGGCCATCTTGAATTAGGTTGATGTCAAAAGTTCATTAGTTGTAGATGAACATCAAATGAATATTTCCTGAACATTTAATTAATATTTGCCTGGTGGTTTGTGAGATATTTCATTAACAGACACATACACATGCAGAAACAAGCATAAACATTATCGCCCACTTTTCATTTTAGGCAGCAATGGAAAAATATAAAATACTGACATGATAAAGTTGATGCTCACGAGTTTGCGGTATGATTTAAAAAAAAAAACACCAGTCAATTATTGTGTCTGTCATGTCACTTTGTCAGATATATCAAAACTTTTACTTGTTTGACAGCAAACTTTATATTTTAGTAGCGCTGGAAAATCTCATCAAATTGCATTCTAATACCATATTTTTGGGACTATAAGGCACACTTAAAATCTTTAATTTTCTCAAAAATTGACAGTGAGCCTTATAATCCAGTGCGTCTTATGTATTAATTCTGGTTGTGCTTACTGACCTCGAACCGATTTTATGTGGAAAGTTTGACTTGACTGTTTTCTTTTGCTTAATGCACCTTATAATCTGGTGCACCTTATAGTCCAAAAAATACGGTAATTTTTAGAGCGAAAACAATGACTAGGACTTCATAACTCATGCTGTTAAACATTTTTAAAATTGGAATATGTCATTCGGACAAATGTTTAATTTTATTATTAGAGTTGGAAAAATCATAAAACCTTCAAACGTTTTACTTCCAAAAAGTATATTCACAAACAAAAGTGTAAAAATGACAAAATGCTCTTGAAGAAAGGCACATTTGTGATTTGAAGCAGTTGCTTGGTAACCGGTGGAAACTGAAGGAAGTTACCGCAGATTTGGAAGCCCATAATAAACACTAAAATATTTTTGGACGTATAGGTCATGGCATCTCAATGTGCTTTCAATATGAGCTTACAGGAAATCTGTGATTTCAAACGCTATTTTAATGATTTTTCTTTGGACATTGATTTTTGTTTACCAACTGGATCTTTAGGCACTTTGCATTCAGCTGCAAAGACAAAAACCTGTTCTCGTTTCTACCTTTAAAAAATACCAAGGGTAACAGTTTGATGAAAAAAAAAAAAAAGTTTATTAACACCAACAAGACCCGAGCTGTTAGCTGAAAACTTACCATATTCTAGCATATTGCATGGTGTCTTTAAAAAGTTAACAACACTGGAGGACCAAAGAAGTGTCAGAAATCAACAGCTGTAGATGAAGTGTCTGAACGACTTTACAGAATAGAAAAGAACTCCATCAAAGACCTGAGAGAAGCCTCATCCTTCAGCTGATCATCGCTGCATGTCAAGGTTTCAGCTAATAAGCTCTTTAGATTCTGGCTGCTGGTAACAAAGTGTCTAAAAATTGAATTTAAAACCAGTT